ACTTTAGGCAGTCCGCAAAAAGAAAAATAGCGTCGTGTCTTTCGACCCACCTTGTTTCGCAATATTTTAATAAAGTAGTGACCTCTTTTGGCCCTTCCTGTAGCCTCTTTTTAAGTTTTTGAGACTTTTGTGCAGAAATTCTAAAGAAGGAACATATTTCGGCAATTTTATTAAACGTTTTTCTTATAACAGACACTTTTAAAACGTCACAAAAAGAAATAGCAATTTAAATAAATAATTTTGCATGGAATACAAATATTTTTTAGCTTATTTTAGCTACGTGCACACACTCGTTAACCACTTTTGGTTCTATTAATTTTGATATTTATTTGATAAATTTTAATTTTGCCATGTGTATTCTTAATTAATTATAGATGAATAAATATTTCATTATAATCAACTATACTACTCAAAATCAAACAAACCGGTATTTATCCTAATCACTAACTGGAAAAATTAAACAAATAATTATTTTCTTTGAATGACATAAATAAATATTTATTCAACAATAAGCACCTGTTGGAAAAATCAAATAAATATTTATTTCATAAAACTTTCTTAAAACCAAAAATCAAATATATATTTATTTCATCATACTTTCTTGCAAGTAAAAATAAATAAATGTTTATGTCATCATATTATTCTTAAAATGCGAAAATTAAATATTCACTGTTCAACAGAAAATTCTATAAACGAATAAGCCAACGCCCATCCCATAAGATTTGAAAATATTTACTTTTATTTCAAATTATTTTTTTATTCAGATAGTCCTGTTCTGAATATAAATGATTTAGATTTAATAATTACGTATTTAATTATTTATACAGAAAATATGAAGTTTGAACGGCTTACCTACCAACCCATATTCCGTTTCTGATATTTATTGGTAGATAATGTATTTAAAAAAATTGGTGATAATAAATGTACTGATATTTCGAACGAATTCCTAAAAGTAAATTAGCAATGTACAAGTAATAACGTAAACATGCAAAATTAAAAGAACAAACGACTTATGTACCTGTATTATATACATTATTACACAGTTTTAAATGTTTCCTTGACATGAATGATTAACCTTTAAGAATATAATAGTCACATAGATATTAGCTTACATTTTTAGGTATACAATACCATAACAATATGAAAATATGTCACACAAAACAAAAAAGTACTGTGATGACTTGTTAGTAATAATAAAGAATTATATTCTATTTTTCTTAGACAACATTCAACATTTAACTTCTATTTTCGCATAAATAAAAATAACTATAAAATTTCGTATCTTCTACCCGACCGTATGCAATCAGACTAGTTCGAACAAGCAAGTCAGTGTCTGGTTAATAAGATCAGCCAGTGAGAATCTATAATGGACTGTAAATAGGCTGCCTTTGGTTGAAAGGTCCCTTGCCAATACCATAGTATTTTGCGAGTTAATATTTCTTTGATTCAAACAATCTGGAACGGATTGATAGTTTGGGTGTTGGAAAGACGTTTATTTTTAAATTACAAATTCGAATAATTAACAACTTATGTTACCATCAAAACATAATAAAAGATTATATAGGGTGTAAATCTAAACATGCCCCCTTCTTGAAAGGGACGGCTTTCAATTATTGTCATCTTACGCTAGGGAAGAAACTGGAAGCGGACCAATTTTTCATATTGTCCGCGTTTTGTGACAATTCTGGGTCCAGGACCAGGTCCAGGTTTAAAGTCTATAACTCGGCCTAGATTCCACTTCATTGCAGGTTCATGGAATTCTTTGATCATCACTAACTGTCCTTGTTTGAGGGATCTATTTTCCTCCTTGCATTTATTTTTAACTTGTAATTTGCTGTGCTGCTGCATCATGTGTATGTACTGACATACACAATTGTTGCAGTATAGTTTTCGCGATTATAACGCATGGACTAAAAAGTTCCAATGGGTCAAAAATTGTAGCAATTCTTGACAGAATTAGTCGTTTTGTAATATTTGGTTGTTTAAGAGGTACAATTTTATACATCAGAATATCTCTGTGATTGTATCACGAAAGCCCTAGAATTTTAGTAGTAATTTTATCATTGGAAAGAAAATCTAAAATATCTGATGAGTTGGAACATGGAAGAACTTGCGGACAGTTTTACTTCCGTTTCCGTAAATCAAAACCTGCGCTGGAAATTTTTGAGCATATTCATGTAGCCTCTTCTATTGACTGAGCACCTATCAATTAATCGTCTACATACATATCATGTTTGATAATATGTGCTATATCTGGGTTTGTTTTAATAAATTATTTAATAACTCGTGTAAACATCGTATCGCTAAAAAAGGTGCCGCTTTATGACCGTATGTGACCGTATTTAGTGTATAAGTTGATAGATATCACATCATCGGGATCCTTTCTCCAAAGGATTTTTTGTAAATACCTCTGAGACGGATGTACCCAGATGCATCTATACATCATTTTAATGTCATCGGAGACTACAATTGCATGGAACCTAAATCGCAAAAGTATAGAAACTATATCGTCCTGAATTGTAGGACCGACCATCTGCAAATCATTCAGATATACCTCTGAGGTTGGTTTGGATGTAGTGGTGTTGTTATAATCACCGCATCCCTTATGTACTTTTCGCATAGCCTTTTCAATGTCTTCATGGAAAACGATGTCAGATTAATTGGTCGGTATGTTTTTGGGACAGTGTAATCCATCCTTCCAGGTTTGGGTACAAATACCTCTTTTACCTCTCCTTATTTTTTGGAGGTATACCTCAGAGCCAATGTAAATCTGAATATACCCACCAGGTGCGGTGTGAGGTCTTCCAGACGCCACTAAAGTAGGACTGGATAGATATCGTCAGGTTCTGGCGATTTAAATGGAGAGCAGCTGAATATTGCCCATTTAATTTTTTTAATGTTTACAATGTGTTTTGCAGTTTACCAATCATAGACAGATGGATTATATTCTTCCTCTGTCCAGTCAGCCACGCCTGTGATGACTGAGTCAGGGAAGTCTGTTGACAGCAGAAGTTTGATGCTATCTTCGAGGTTGGCAGTTTTAGTGCCGTCCTCTCTGATTAGCGCACCAATGCTTCAGTGTGGATCTTTTGAGAGAGCTTTTTGAAGCCTCGCTGCCTGCGGGAAATCTTCGATTTCTTCGCAGTAGGATATCCATGCATCTCTTTGTTTTTGTCTGATGAATTTTTTTGTATTCCCTGAGGTGAGATTTGTAAGTATCCTATTCCTCTTTGAGTTTTGTGGTTCTTGCCTTATTAAAGGATTTCCTAGCCATCTTCCTGAGGTGATCCAACTCGTGACACCACCATGCGGTAGTCGTCTGATCGTGTTGGACCAGCCTAATGGGACAGGATTTCTTATAGGCATTGTTGTTTATTGTGCTTTGAATAGTGTTCGAGTATTTCTCCAAAGCATTGTTATTGTTTGGTGTTTCGGCCTCCATTTCTCTCAGAGCCTCCTGGAGAAGGTGGGCATAAATTGCCCTGTCCGTCTTCCTAGGGTTCTGAGATAGCGTGGAAGTCGGCAACATCAAGTTTATTATGAATGTTAACCAGCGGTGGTCTGACATCGAAATGTTAACAGACACTTGCTAGTTTAGAATTGATTTATAGATACCAGTTGTGGAAAAGTGATATCTATTAGTGTTTGACTGCGAGTGTTTAAAAATGTTGGTGTAGTACCTTTATTTAAAATACAAAGATATTTGGTAATAATTATATAATCATAGATTGACTTACCTCTAGCGTTGTTATCCTTACTGTCCCAACTGAAGTGATAAGCGTTTGAGTCGTAATCTATTACCTGCTGAAACTTCTGTTCTGTCAGATCCTCTATTTCTTTATTGGGTGGTGGCGTGGTTGCATCGAAAGGAAGGTATGCACATGCCAGGATTAACGTTTTCTTTTCCCTTTTGATGGCGTATTCCATCCTAACCGCAGTTAAATCGGAGGTGGAAAGGTGCGCCATTGAATGGGCTTTGTATTTCCTAGGAATCTAAATGGCTGTCCTAGGTTGTTGGTTGCTGGGAAAGCTAAAAATTGAACCATTTAGATTTTTAAGACCTAATATTTTGGTTTTTATTATCCAGGGTTCCTGGATGAGTGCTATTGTATCTTGCAGCTCATCAATACGGCGGCATAATGTTGCCGTAGCAACCCTTTTGTGCTGCAAGTTACATTATATGATAGTTACCTCTTTTATTGCTTCCCGGTCTTTTCAAAATAATAATGATAATTTATTTAAATTCAACAAATTTAATGTTTGACATAAATAATTATGAACATGAATTTGAAATTTAAAATGTTGTCTTTGATTGGTTTAACATGCATGAACAAAATTTAAATAAATCCATTTGTTTGATACAAGAAAACATTTTTCAGAGAGTGTCGAAGCTTGTCTATGAATTGTCGTATCAGTTTTTGTGACATGTGAAGCACCTGACGGATTTTAAGCCAATAAGAGGGTACGTTGATCCGATCATACGATGACAGATCTGGCGTTTAAAGGGAACCCACTAAAACATAGAAACTTACAAACACTTGCAGAAAATTTATTTTCGGCTTGCAACTAAAACTTATTTCCTAAGTGTATGGAGCATTTATTATAAATTCACAAATTTTTATTTATGATCGGTGTTTAGTACGTTTTTATGAGAAAATTTATATTTTTAAACTTGAAGCAATCTTTCAATAAAAAAAAAATAAATATATGTTTACATGTTAGCTTTATATTCATGTTATACGCAAAATGATCAGGACCCTGTACTGAATTTCTAAATATTTTTTTCATTTAATTTTTTTTAAACTTAATCAAGATTTTCATTTTATATTAATAATATTTAACCTAAATTTGTTTCAAAAAAATAATAATTATGAAAAATGAGCGGGAAATAATTACGGATATAGTTTTGAAATAACATTTTCTAAGAATACAGATTACTCCGATTTTTATCAGATATTCAACTTAATAAAAACATAAGTGGTTTAAAATCAATGTTTTAAATTTCGTATAAATATAATATACGAAATCAAAGAATACTCCGATATAACACAACTGCTATCAACTTTGTAATAACAACCACTTGAATTTTTTTATCTATAAACGTGAGTTCCAGCAGTAAAAGATAATCGGAACCAGAAAATAGTTAATGATGTATGGTGAGGGGAATAACTTGTGCCGGCGTATCTCTACTTAAATATAGTCGATAATATTAAACAAAATAGTGCAGTGTATCTCGAATTGTTTATAAGAATGGCCGTTTTTGAATCTGGTGAAAAAAAGGAAGAGTGCTCTAAGAGGGACGAAACACCGACACACTATTATGAAGCCAACGAAAGGGACACGTATTTCTCAAATGAGAAAGTGATTGTTCCTGAAGATGACTCTGTAAGTGAATTTTTATTTGCATAATTTTTGAAATAACAAAGTAATTAACAGCACTTCGTTTAACATTAAAGTACACAAATAAAACTTGTTTGTGAATCATCGGATTATAAAATAAAATAATTTTTAGAGTGCTGTTAAAATATTTTAAAAATTATTTATCATTTAGTTTACATTTTAATTCAATTTAATGTCTCACGTATTATATATAAGTAATCATTTTCGCAACAGATATTTATCTGATAACACAAAGTAGTCATTCTCTAATTATTTTAATAAAATCAGTGTGTAATAAAAGTATTAAATATTTATCTAGAAGGAAGCTGCCATATTAAATTAATAAATCTAATTAAGAGTGGGTAAACAGCATGTATTATAGCTCTAGAAACGAATAGTGTTCACCTCGCAAGAAATGTTCATTATTTAGAGAATTCTCATTTAATGCAAGCAGTAGATATCATTCATACTCATACGAAATCGTAAAAAAAAAGTATTTCGGTTTTGGAATAAAAATATATTTTGAGTGAAATATGGGTCCATAACACTTTAGTGTCACAAAAAGTAAGCGATTTAGAAAAAAAATAAAACCATTTTGAATGAGGTAGAGAGTAATTGTTTACAATAAAGTGCGGATTTTGTCAAAATATTACCATTTTTTCAAACCTCAATTTTTTTATTTTTTTATAACATGAGTGAATTGTGCGCTGAGTTCAGGTGCGAGTTTTGCAAACAATTTGTCAACACCCAAAAATAACTAGTTTCTATAGTAAATTTTTGCAGTATTTTTCCAGTAAAATATAATGAAAAATTGAAGTGATCAAAACCCATATATTGTGTTTGGAAAAATGTAGTGTGTTTACCTATATAGAAACAGCATTAAAAAAAATGCTTTTGTCGTGAAATGTACCACCCCAAACATGTTTTCCTATATTTGCACAAGAAAACACCACTAACAAAAAAATTATATATTTGTTCTACTTGAAATATCAAAATAATTAAAAAATTACGTATGTCGCCTGAAACGAAAACTTAATTTTTAAAAATTTGCTTCCCGGCCAACTGACACAGATCAAAGAGTATACATTCTCGCTTCTCACTACTTCTACCATCACTACTGGATATCACTACTTCTACGAAACAAACCTAAGTTGCCTAAGTACCTATATTGATTGTTGCAGTAAACAACATAAAATTTAGAAATATTTTTATTGATTTAAAATACATATTTTTCTGCAATATGCTCACAAATATTGATAAACTTTAGTAATTGCGCTATATATTTCGTACCATATAACTAATCCATAAAATACTTAAAACCTATGTAAAACATAAAAACACAAATCAAATTGCTATAAATAAAATCAAATTTTCGACAAACAAACAAAAGAGCATCCGCGTATCGAAATTACTACGCTTTTATCAAGTAATTGGTAATTTTCAACATCCACAATAAAAAATAGTTCCAACTTGGAAAGGCCATATTTTTGAATTTTGACTATAATCCGCAATTTTTTTTCCAAAAATCAAGAAATATCTATCTGTAGTTTTATTTAAAACATATGTCAAATCTGTAATTTTGTGACACTAAAGTGATATGTCACCTGAAATATATAAACTTCATTTAATAGTTTTTCACTTCTTACAAAAAAATTATAATACTATTTTAAAAATCTTTTTTTGATACTTTTTGTTCATACAGAATGACTTTATTTAAATAAATCTAACATCAGACTGAATGTAATAATAAACTATTGTTAAATACATGTTTGTCAATAACCAGAAACTTGAGCTGCCGCTTGGTGGGATTCTAAGAACTTCTGGGCACCTCAGCAGTTGCTATGATAAAATAAAATTCCTCCCTTCCCAGAAAGATTCATACTGGGTGTAGATCGTAATTCGTCCTCTTCTTCTGATTTTTGTACTTCGATTGTCTAAACTTTAAAAACATGATGATGTTGACAACTAGTGATGCCGCGAGACGAGAGATTCTTGTCGTATCGTCTTGTCTCGTCTCGAACGAGACGAGAGAGACATTTTCTCTCGAAAACAGATTCAAGTAGAGACGGGAGGGTGTCATTTCCCGACGAGAATTTCTCGTTTCTCTCGAGCTCTCTCGGGCTCTCTCGAACAATTTTCTCTTTGTTTACTTGAAATTTTTAATTGCTTATCGTAACTTAAAATTTTAACATATTAGACTTCGAGATAGTCAAAAACTATAACACATCTATTCTATATATATTAAATGGTAACAAATGATACTTGTATCATTGGGATTTTATAAATAGTGATTTATAAGAAAAAATATTACTCATTTAATTTATTTAAAATTTATACAATCATTTCTTATAATAAACCCATAAGTTGAAAATGTTTAAGTGTAATTTCGAAAAAAGGTAATACAAACGAATGTATTACATACAGTAAGGACGAAAATTGTACCCTCCTCTATTTTAACTTCTATATGAAAAAAGATAATGACAAAACAAAAACGAAATAAAACTCAAGAGATATTATATTTTTGTTATAACGAGATGCATTTGACTTGAGACACGTAAGATAGAGGAAGATACTAGCTTTAAATTTTTTAATGGAAAGTAAGTTCATACGATACCTCATTTAAAAGATATTTTCTATATTTTTATGTTCATGTAAACAGATTTAGGTTTTTACAGAAATTACATTAAATAACTTCATAAAGTAGGTCTCTGTATCTGTAACGTGTGGAGGGTGGGTTACCTCCACGGCACTTAGGCCTCATTAGGCCCATTGTGCATCCTCCTGAGATGATAGGCACCTCCTAGCTCGTGAGCCAGCCTACAGATTTTATATAAATAGTAGGTTAAATTCTTTTTTTTATTTACCGCTTCAACCTCAAAAGATCATTACCGGAGGTATATTAAGAAGTTATAAATGCTGTTTTTTACAATAGTATACAATGGATAATTAACATTTTGGCTAGTACAGAGTAAATGTCTGTATCTTTTATAAATTTAAGTAATTTTTTACTATTAGAGGGATTTAACACCGCACAAATGGAATTTTTTTGTAGCTGGTACTTTGTTCTTAGACATGTAATGAGCCTTTACTAATAAGTTACATTCTTGATAACTCTCATATTAACAATTATTGTTTATTACTAAGAAAACGCTTCTTGTATTTACTAAAATAAATAAATTAAGAATATTAAAGGTGATTTAAAAACCACTTGACGTATTAAATTTTTTATAACTTCTTAGCAAAAAAAAGCTTAATAAAAAATTATCTTCTAACATTATCTAACATTTCTAGGATTATTGCGGCACACGAGGATTATCAAGAATGTAATTTTTGTAAAAACAAAAAAACATTAAAACTGTTTGCTTGGACGTAAATATAATCAAAATATCTTTCAAATTAGGTATTACATGTTTTTACTTTCCATTATAAAATTTAAAGATAGCAACGCCCTCTATTTTACGTCTTAAGTAAAGTGCATATCATTATAACAAAAATATAATAATTTCACATCGTTTTTGTTTTATGTCTCTATCTTCTTGCATTTTGAAAAATTAGAATTAGAAAAATTCTAACTTCCAATTTAACCTCTTCCCTCCCCCCCCCCTCCCCAACTGACTTACAAGACAAATTATTTTCGTTTTTAGTTAACGCCTAATCAGGGCCACTTATTACTTCAAATTTCAATTGTAAAACGACTGTGACAGATGGACAGACAGAGAGACATTTGTGTTTCTTATTGCCAAATTTAAGTACTAATGCCAAATTACTTGAAAAATTCTTTGTTTTTTACCATTATTTCATGTTTGGTCTTTTTCAAATTGTTTTATCACGAGAGAAACGAAACGAGACGAGACAAGACGAGAGAAAGGTTCTCTCGAGCGAGAGAAGCGCCTTCTCGTCGAGACGAGAGAACAGTTTTCTCTCGCCTTACGAGACGAGACGAGAAAGGCCACTCTCTGGTCTCGTCTTGTCTCGCGGCATCACTATTGACAACAGTACCCATTGCACACAGTGGCGTATACCACAGGTGGGTATTTTAAAGACTTATTTGATGGATTCGATTTTGTTCCTTTTGCAATAGATGGATCTTATCAAGGGGTATTTCATTGATATTGATTTTTCTGAAATGATTTTTACTGACTTCATTTATTTTTAATTCCTGGTAGAAGTAAGGGCTATCCGTGAATAACGTCGATTTTATTTGAGTTTCTGTTTTTCGGAATTTAGAAACTGCAACCCTTGGGTAATTCCATAAAACTGCGAGACCTGACTTTGCACAGCTGATTTGGATCTTGGCTTCTCAAGGAAAGACTGCAATCTAGTAGGCAGAATTGATTCGTTTGATTACCTCAGAACTGATTTAGATTGGAGTAAGTTCACATGCAGCGAAGTTTTGATTATTGAATTGTAGTATTTGGTAGATACAATCATTAACTTTGAATTAGTTGTTATGCCGCAGCGGTGTTCTTCTCATTGTAGTCGGATTTTTACAATCCATATCTTCTTAAAGTGTTACAAACCTTATAGACTAATAGCCAGGACCGCAAGACCTACATATAGTATTAACATTAAGACATTTTTATGTGTAATGCACGTGGTGGTAGATAATATTTGGATGCAATGAATCTTAACTACGGTAGATAACAGGTCCTCAAGGTAGCAAAAACTGTTTGGCGGGGGTTATGTCTGTCAGGCTCTTTCAAAACTTTTTATTTTTAATTTCTCGGAAAATTTAATTCTACAGACTTCATACATATTAAATAATTTGACATTTACGAGGGAGTTATAAAAATCTGAATTTAGCTCTACAGTAAAGAACCCTTATTTTTAAAAACAGAAAAATGTTACTTGTTAAATTTGTTTAAAATAATTACTAATCAGAAAATATTATAATATTATGGATGCGATCTACCCTATGGTAACTTATTAATTAATAAATAAATTGGACGATATTGGAGAGAATTGTGGAATAAAATGTTTGACAAAATATAAAATCACAATTATTG